ACTAATAACGAGATCATTATCAGTGTAAGTCATTGAGCGGACTTTATCATCATGAGCATCAAGAATCTTAGGCTGGAGAGAGAGAGAGAAAGAGAGAGAGAGAGAGAGAGAGAGAGGAGAGGGAGGGAGAGAGAGAATAATTTTGTAAAAGGAATTTGTCATAAAAGGAACATACATTTATTTGCAGTTGGTAATTTTGGAGAGTCTAAATTTGTTGAGTTGGGCAATAATTTTTCAGCAAATTTAGCATGCAAAACCTAGTAGCTGCCATTTTTTTTGCAAATGGCAGCTACTAGGTTTTATTTTGACAAAATGACTCTTAAATTGCAAAAAATTACTCATTCCATGCACAGGATGACATATAGCACATAGGAAATATTACCTTAAATAAAATTATCATCCAAAATTACATGCACTAGTAGTAGCTGTACTATAATTACATGTACATGTACATTTATATGCAACTTTAAAGCATGATAGCTGATCTTACCCCATCTCTGTTATTCTCTGTTCTTGCTGAAAACACGTATATCTTGCCACTTTTGGTACCACACCAAACCTAAATCATTAATGAAAATAAACCCCACCCACCTCATTAAAAGGGTGTGGTCAACTCACTGTATTTCTTACAGGCACAGTCAGGCAGTATAAATGAGACTCTGTCGTTTCCTTTAAAGGGTAACTGCAATGTATTTTTTGGTTATTTATTTTATGGTTTTAATATCATTGCCTGATCATAACAATGATGTGTTCCAACTCCCATTGTCCTAAAAAAATTATTCACTGAGATATGAGCCTTCAAAAATGCACATTTTGCTTGCTTCAATCATAGATATTATAGACTACGTAACCGGGATTGGAAACTAGGATTCCCTGGTGGACAACGTCCGTGATTGAATTGGGCATTAAATAGAATAAATTTGACCATGTTGCTTGCTTTTCATGCGGAAATAATGAATTTTTGGTTTTAAAGCAGTACTGCAGTCAAATACAATGCATGAATTAAAATGCTAACCCCCCAATTCCATGCACACAATATCACCCTATCATCACCCAAAAGGAGAAACCTCTGCTTGTTTTGTAAAAGCTGTAACAGGTACGACAGTGGACTGTTCGCAGAAACAGTATTTCAGATATTACTCCTCTCACATAGCAAATCAGTAAATGAAACTATGACAGTTCCATGCACAATGATTGTGGAAACATTTCCAATGATCTTGTTAGTCTATTTTTGCCCGTGTAATGGAGCAACAGGTACAAAAAGTTTTGAAAATTTGTAAGTAACAGAAATTTGAACAATATCACAGTATATTTGCAAAATAACAATGGTATCATTATTTTTTTCATTATAGTCATGTTACACAAACACTAAAGTATTGAAATATTATTAAAATAACAAAAAATCAACATTGGTTTAAATACAGTCTTCCTTTGAATGTTGTCGATTAGTAGCCATTTTTTGACCACACCCACCAAAATCCAATCACGGACCCTGTGTCAGCCGGTTTGTACTGGTTTGAATGGATCACGTGACCTAGTTTCCAATCCTGGTTACGTAGTCTATAATATCTATGCTTCAATGTAACTTCCTGTCGGTGGGTGTGGCTAAACTTGACGTCATAAGAGGCACAGATGCAGATAAATCCATTGCTGTGCAGGGGGAAATAATCCTTTATTCTCATGCCTAGTAATGTACTAACACTAATTTAAACATTGGGATCATTAGCTTTCATTA